AAATTTGGATCAACAGTTGGAAAGTTACAGGTACAAAACAGGACAAAGGTCGAAATTGAAAAACATAGGAAGTACATAAATTCCTCTATGACCAAAAAGTGCTACAGTACCCGGGTAAGTGATACAATTGTGATAAGGAAGTGATACAGTGGTAATAAAGCAGTGATAAACTGGTGATAAAGCAATGATACAATGGTGAGAAAGAAGTGATACAGTAGTGATAAAGGAGTGATACAAAATGCTGATTGTATTTACCTTTGGTTTCTTGTTTTGTATTTAAATAATAAAATAAGTATAAATATTGGATCGGTACGGGTTTCTGTTGGGTTAGGAATTTTGTTTCTGTTAACCAAACCAAACATTTCGGTATGGATCGAATCAGAATAATTAAAATTAAAAAATAATTATTTAACCAAACCAAACCAAACCGTCGGTACAGTATGATTGGTACACGGATAATTCGGATGAGATGCCCACCCCTACTTGACATCTATCCATTCCTATAACTATAGTTAACTATTTGTTTTAAAATCTTTTAAAGTATTTAAAACCAATAAAAATTAAACCAAATAATATTTAAAAAGAAAGAAAAAAAGTACATGTCTCTTTCTCTCCCTCCCCCCTTCCCGACCTCCAGTGAGAAATGAGAAAAGGGAAGCATGGTTTCAAGATGCAAGAATCTACAAATTTCAAGCACTTGAATGGCTCAAATCTAAAGGATATTCTAGATCTGAAGCTGGAAAGGCGACAACGATGACGAACAAGAAGCCATCGTGTCTGACGGCAGCGCTAGAGTTACGGTTTCTTGGCTTGTTGTAGAAAATAGACGACTACGACGAAACCACTTGAGAATTAGAAACTGTGATGGACATGTCTCTTTACCTTTTCCATTTAATCTTTCTGATTGATGAGGATGAATGAGGTGAGGGAGGAAATGGTGGCTGGGGTTGTTGAGGGAGGTGGCTATAGAAAATAGGGCCTCTTGGTTGGGGTGGTTCGGAATAGAAGGATATAGAAGGAGAGAGTTTTTATTTATTTATTTATATATTTTATTTTATTTTTTAGTTTTAAATGCTTTAAAATATTTAAAAACAAATAGTTAACTAGGGTTATAGGTTTGGACAAATGTCAAGTCATGAGTTGGGTGGTGAGGGTGCACATATGGTTATAGTGGTGAGCAAAAATGCTCCATTTTTCTACCTGCTAAAAGTGACACGTTGGATTTAACATCTTTCTTGGAGATGGTCTGAAAAAATGTGACTGTCATCTAGTGAGATTTGTGGTCCCAAGATAACTATGACCACTAACTTGGTACATGCCCTAAAAAAAATCCTAATACTATTTTGTATTTTGGATTAACTACATTTTACTCCCTTCCTCGGGGCCAATTTCGACAATGACCCTAACCTGCATGGAGTAATATGTAGTTAATTAATTTTAATAGATATATTTTTACTAAAAGCATCTACAATGGGAATGGGCTCCCACCTTCTAGAGACAAATTGGAAAAATACAACTCCAACCATGCTCTCCATCCACCTCTTAAAATAGGGAGACATCTAGGATCTCATAAATTTGAAAAGAGAGAAAAAAAAACCTCCAAGTGGGTCCCTATAATATTTTAATGCTGCTTTATTTTATGAATATTTTAAACTTTTAATTAATGCTGACTATTTTTTGTTATATATAATTTTTTTTTATTGAGAGGGACCATTTATGCTAAATTAAAAAAGAATTATAGCATTTCAGACGCCCAAAACTATGGAGTATAATTGAAGTTGATATTTTATAGAAATAGTTTTTGTGTGTTTTTAGCTAAAATTTTCAACTAAAAAAAATAGGGGGCATTGTAGATGACTAAAACTGAACTTACTCAAGAAATTATTGCCACATGTGCATTGTAGGCATTATACAATGTGTGTAATCTACTACCACTCTAATCATTCGCATTGAGAAATTATTATATGATATTGGGATATAGTTATGTGGTATGACTCGTCCACATGTTATAATATGGATGGACGGTATAGTTAATATTTTCCACTTTTATGATATAATATCAATAAATATCCACTTATATATATTCTAACAAATGAGTTATACCACATGACATGCTCTCATACTACGTACACTATTGCACTTAAAGCATCCACAATTGGGTTCTTAAACCACAATTTAAGATAAATTTTAGGGAGGAATTGGAAAAATACAACTCCAACCATGTTCCCTATTCACTTCCTAAAATATAGAGACCTCTGGGGCCTCGTTTGGTTTACATAATGAATTTGATGGGAAATCATTTCCCATGTCATTTTCCAAGGGATGGGAAATGGAAGATTCATTTTCCACGTTTGGTAATGTTGGGAAAGTAACCGGGAGATAGAACTTTATTTCATTTCCCGTGTTTGTTTTGAGTAGGAATGAAAAACAAAGTTTGTATAAATTTTTGATTATACCCATATTAAATTAAATAAAAAAGAATGCATTTAATGATATATTGTAATTCTAAATTGTTAATGGGGACAAAATGGTCATGAAAAATGTGTATTTAATGTTGGTTCATTTCCCCAAACTTTCCCATGAGGAGGGAAAACAAAACCCAAGTTGGGAGGATGGCTTTACTTTCCCCTTACTTTCCCATGGGCCATGCAACGATTTCCCATGCTTGGACTTACCAAATATGGGAAAGTAATTGATTTCCCATCCCCAAGTCTCCTTTTCCATGAACCAAACGAGGCCCAAGAGCTCCTAAATATGAGGAAAGATAAAGGACTCTTAGTGGCTCTCTATAATTTAATGTTGTTTTGTTTTATGCATAGTTTAAACTTTTAACTAATATATATATATATATATTTTATAGAGATGGACCAATCATATTAAATTAAAAAATAACTATAGTATTTATGACTCCCTAAACTAGAGAGTATGATTGGAGTTCAAATTTTATAAAGAGCTCATAAAATAAATTTTGTGTATTTTTAGCTAAATTTTAAGAGCATGACCTTTGCCTACATAATTATTGACTAATTCCTTGTGATCGTGTATTTATTATTTCAGGATGTGGTTGTGAAAGTAGCTCGGATATTGAAGGTTGGTGTCGATGTCGGACAAACTACTTTAAACGGTGGTTGCAGCATTATGTGATTGACAGACAACATAGCAGTTTTCATTTTTCAACGAAAACAATAAGTTTTTTTATAAAATTAAAAAAAAAAAACCAAAATTTTAATTTGACCTTATTGTCATTATGGTGGTTTTGCTGCTAGCTAGGTCGTTTTTGCATGTGACTTTTTTCTTTTCGGGTGAAGCTAGCAGAACTCTTTTCATGGTCCTGTATTAATAAATTTTACTTGGTTGTGATGTCTATATATATATATATATATATATATATATATTGATTTGAATGCCTGCTAAGATTTATTACCTTCTTTAAATAACATTTATGCTTATCTCTTTTGCTGATAGTTTGATAATACAAATATGTTTTCCAGTCTTAACAGAAGATTAATCTGGTACTTACTAATATCTTGTCTTAATAGAGTATCTCTCATGCTTATCATTCAAAGATAGAGATCAAATTGTTACAAGCTCCGGACCTATGACGAATCCAAGAATCTTGTCTCTTGGGGTTATAGTGTAAAACAATATAATCAAGTCATAAATTCAATTTCATTTTAAGGGGGGGCACACACACAATAAGTGGACACGGCGGTAGGCTTGCATGCAGATGAAGGAGGTGAGTTGGTGTGTGGGTTGGGGGGGGGGGGGGGGGGGGGGGGGGGGTGGGGGGGGGGGGGGGGATGGAATGGAGGGGCTAGCTAGCCTGGCAGGAGATGGGGCCCACGAACCCAGGCTAGCCCTCAGGCAAGATCTGCCTTAGTTTCAGCCCCAGTTTGCTGATGTCAGCAACAACAAAAATTTAAAAAAAAATCTATAAAAATCTATAAAAAAAAATTTCAGATTTTTTTAAAAATAAATACTTAGTTGTAGTTTTCACTTCCCACCCCCAAAACTCTATACAAATTTATCTCCTCATATCTCAAGTGAATAATTGTTGCCATGGCAATTAGTGGAAACACCATAACCTTTTGCAAGGGCAGCAACTATTCAAGTGAATAGTGGCTGCCCTAGCCCTCCCTTGCCATAGAAAAGGGCAAATGGGTGGAGTTGCTCTCAGGGTTTGGAGGGTTTCCCATAGGGTCACACAATCGACTCAGGTGGACCTTCAAGCATATTTCCATGACTTCCATAGGATCGTTTGACCCTAGTGACCCCATTGTGGTTGTCTCTGCTCTAGACCATAAAATATGCAACATGTAAATAACCTTTTGTGTTGGCATGATTTTAATGGAACATAACACTAAACCAGTATTATATTGCACCTCTGAATACATGTGTTTCATGGCAAAAGGGTGGTTTTGCAAAATGGAATAGGGGGAGGGGAAAATTAGGTGAAAATTTTCAGATTTTTGTAATTATAAAACTTTTAAAAATGATGTGGAATATTGGTAAAGTTTGAGGGAGGTATGTGACAATATGAATAAATTTCAAGGGATGTATGCACAATTTAATTTTTATTGTTAAATTCATTTTGGGAGAAATTTTTACAAAAACACAAAATATGAGAGGGGTGTCAATCTAATTAATCCTTAATTATGAGAAGAATTTGCATATAACGGGGATGCTATCATAGTGGTATTTTAAGCCTATCACTCATTGTCATATTGGAAAGTTAAAACCCAATAATAGGTGATCGGCTTGAAATAAAACCACAGTGGTATAGATAGGCCTACCCATTATTATGTTTTACATTATGTTTCATTCCTAATATGCCACTCATTATTTTTAAGGAGATGAGTGGCATTCTAGGAATGAAACTTTGCATTTTACATTGGGCCTGAATGGCACAATTGGCCCACCGAAATTAAAAATGCTTCATGAAACAAAGCAAATAGCCTCGTCCTTCAATCTCTCTCATTCGCTCTGATTCTCAAGCAACAATGGCAGCCATGGAAGGCGTGGTACAGAACCAACTTCCTCAGCCCCAACAGCAACAACCACCGCAACCCATGGCGGTAGAGAGGCTTAATGACGCCGTGCAGCAACAGCTGAACCTAGAGTCCGTCAAGACCCGAGCCATCAGCCTCTTCAAAGCTATCTCTCGCATTCTCGACGACCTCAACGCCTACGCTTACGCCAACACAACTCCCAAATGGCAAGACATCTTGAGCCAATACTCCATGGTCAATCTCGAGCTCTTCAATATCGTCGATGAAATCAAGAAGGTCTCCAAGGCCTTCGTGGTTCATCCCAAGAATGTGAACGCTGAAAACTCTACAGTGTTACCCGTGATGCTGTCCTCGAAGCTATTGCCTGAGATGGAGGTTGAAGACAATGCCAAGAGAGAGCAATTGCTTCATGGTTTGCAGAGCCTCCCCATAGGTTCGCAAATTGAGAAGCTGAAGGTGATTTAGGGTTCATTTTAGCATCTGGGTTTTGTTCCAATTTTGTATGTCTATTCAATTTCAGAAGCTTCAGATTATTGTATGCAGGCAAGGATTGATATGATTGGAGCAGCTTGTGAAAGTGCTGAGAAAGTATTGGCTGATACTCGTAAAGCTTACTGCTTTGGAACTCGTCAAGGCATACCTATTGTTCCTACTCTGGACAAGGCTCAGGCTGCCAAAATTCAAGAGCAAGAAAATCTTCTCCGTGCTGCTGTTAATTTTGGCGAAGGTAACCACTATTTGTCTTTCTGAAACACTTTCTGCTTCTCAATGTTGCAGTTTTTGTTAACGACTTGCTTGATTGATTTTGGTGATCGTTTCATTCATAAGCTCTACTTTTTAGGTCCTTGCTCAGCTTTAGGTTCTTTTTTCTTAATATTGCAATCGGGTTATTGCTTTAACTTTCAAATGTAGTGTCTCTATTTGTTTATGATTTAGTACTTGTCATTCAAACCGAGTATGGATATATGTGAATGGTTTCATATGGGTTTGTAAATGCATGCATGCAGGATTAAGGTTACCTGTAGACCAAAGACAGAATACAACTGCACTTCCAATGCATCTGGTAGATGTGCTCACTGTTGGTGATGGAGCTCAGCCTTTTGCCGAAACCTCTGGTAATAATCAGTTACTTGTTGTTCAACCATGATTTAACCATGAGTTGATGTACTAGGTTGTACTCCATTGCTTTTCAGGTGACTTTAACTAAAGTTTTTTCAGGTATGTACTTAAAGAATACCCCTGTATCATCAAGTAACTTGACTGCTCAGAGCCCCTTGATGCAGGTTAGATGATAGGCTTCTTAAAGGGCCACTTTGTGAGTTTGAATTCTTAATTGAGGGGAATTGCTAATCAAGTTATGATGATAAAGTTATTTCATTTTGTTGTCCATTGAATTTACCTTAGAAAGTATTGTTTTCATCATCATCTCTCCCTATACATAATCACATTTTTCAGAATATAAGCACACGGATCTCTGAATCTTTCCTCACATTTTCTCTGCCATCACTCATTTTGGCCGCTTTTTTGTTGTTGTTGTTGTTGCATTTATTCCCATCTTCTTTGATCACATCACCCGAAGTTGCAAGACCTACATCCTCAAAGTTTACACAGCTTAGATACTCTCTCCACAAAAGGACTGTTTCGTTTTCCATCTTGTTGAAACCCTCTGCATTTGTGAGGTCAATTATACAGTTTTAAAATTTCTTATTTCTGTAGCTTTATTGTTTTCACTTTGGTTTTTGGTTCTGGGCCTAACCAAAATGAGTGTTTGAGTAATGAGGGATCCCTTCCAGTTGTCTTGAGCTATTGTTTGGTAAGTAGTGAGGGATCCCTTCCAGTTGTCTTGCGCTATTGTTTGCTAATCATGTTGGCAAGGCTACGTTCTTGGCATCCTTACCATTACCCCTTATCGGTTCCTTCATCTAAACTTCTACTTTTATTATTCATAAGTTTATTTTGTAATCATGTTGAGTTGGATCCACCTCAAACCCATTTAGTGGACTGATTTGGCCTGTAATTTGGATTTGAACTTTTTCTTTGAAAGAGAATAGGGTTTGGTCAGGGTCTCACATAACCTTGGTCAACCTTAGCCAACAACATAATGCTGTTTTTCAAGTTTCGTTACTTTGATGAATGTTTAAATGATATAGATGTACTATGCATCTTCTGGCCCTCTTACTTGACAATGTCAAAAGCAGGTTTCTGGATCACAACTAATGGGAAGACCGGCTGCATCTCCTGGTGGTACCAGTGTTTCAAACTTTGATAACACAACGACATCTCCACTGCCGTATGCCAACTCACCAAGGTCTAGCACAAACATGATGAATACGCCATCCCCTCAACAACAAAGCCAACAACAGAAGCAACAACAACAGCAGCAACAGCAGCAAAAATTGATGCAATTACCTCAGCATCAGCAGCAGCAACTCCTTGCTCAGCAACAATTTAGGCAATCTGCAATGCAAGGACTAGGGCAAGTAAGGTTTTATGCCAACATCCTATATGCTATTTTATGGCTTAGGAATTGTTGCCACATCATCCATTTCATTAAAGACTCAATGCGAGTTTCCAAATATTTGTTTTCTAGATTAAGTCCATGGCCAGTCATCTAGAGAATGTAACTTTTGACTCTCTCATTCATCATGCAGAACCAACTGCAACAGCTGCATGATTTGCAGGGCCAGCCGCAGAAGTTTCAGTCGGTAACTTTGTTGCTAACTCCTTTTTTACCTTTTTTCTTTTTTCTTGTCTCTTTTTCTGGTTATCATCTCTTAGTAGTTCTCTTATGTTTTTCTAAGGATCTAGATGCTGCTTTCGTTGAATCTTTCACACTTTCAGGAATTAGATATGTACTTTAAGATATTAGTGAAAAATCTATTTACTTGCGTTGCCCTTTTGTTTAATAAGGTGGAAGTATTTGCATCCGCATATCCCCACAAATTACAAGCCTTGTGCATCTGCGCCTATAATCTGGGTGTTGGTTCTTAATGCTTGGATAAGAGTTTGGGCTTCTGAACGGATGACTGTAGAGTCATGGGGAATGAATGTGTGCTTTTCCCTTGTGCTATGTTTGGTGGTTTGTAGCCTTGAGGAGTTCATCTTCATATTAGAGAATTTTGCAAAACTGTAGTATTTTAGGTGTTACTCTTTCTTTCTCTCCCTCTCACATGTTATTGGCAAAACTACATGAGCTTTTGCATCAACAATGCAAAATAGCATTTATTTGTCTTGCCGCATTTCCCCATTTTTGGGGTTACTTAACTAGTAATTATTATTCTTTCTCTAGTTACACGGACAACATCAAATGCAATTTTCTCAGCCTCTGGGGCACCAGCAATTTCAGGGTAGGCAGTTGCCTTCTGGACACGTTCAACATGGCATTGGTCAAAACCAACTTAATCCAGGAAATCAAATGAATCGTCATCTTGGCCAGTTTTCTGGCACTGCAAATAGTGCACTATTTAATGCTGCTCAGACGACACCGAGTCAAATGGTTAGATTTTGTGCCTATTCATTATCACTTTATTATTTGCATGAAAAAGAGTGGGAAGATTCTATTCATTGCATGGTTCAGAACATCAACTTGTATTGTTTGTGATATGCTTGTATTTTTATATTGTGTAAGTTTTGCATAACTCCACCTTTATGCCCTTCTCATTTAATTTAAAGTGCTGCAAATTTTTTTTTTTTTTTTTTTTTTTTTTTTTTTTTTTTTTTTTTTTTATTTTGATGATTTATGCCATTACATCTTCATTTCTTTTCCTGTTTCAGATACCAAACATTTCGGCCACTATGCCCTCACAATCACTTCTGCCTCGAATGCAGGTACATTTCCTATGTGATTTGGTTTGTTGTGTTTCCCATGTTTATATTAGTTTCTTCATTTTATTAGTTTGTGCCTTTTCCTTTTTGCTTGTGGAGTTCTTTATTCTCAAAGAGTAACTTATCTAAGGTGGATGCTGTATTTTGATGATATGAATTGTTTTGATATCATGTGACTGATAATGTGATGACTTAATCCCTTTTGCTCTTTTTGCTCCACAGTTTGAATTGTCTGGTAACAATCCCCAGAGGAGCCATGCTTCCCAAATGTTGAGTGATCAGAGTATGACATACGCCCTTTCTTGGTCTAATATTAACCTCATATATGAGTATTGCAATCTGGTTCTTCTTGTTCCTGGTTTGATTTAGTAGTTGGGGTCTTTGCATGCAGTGTTTAACATGGGAGCAGCAAATACTGGTGGTATGATGCCTCTACAGCAGCAGCAGCAGCAGCAGCAGCAGCAGCAACAGCAGCATGGTTCGCAAGGTGCATTCGGAAACATTCCACCAAATGCTCAGAATCTTCAGCCTAATATGGTAGCACTTCAGGGTACACCACAGAATCATCCCAATTTTGGTCAACAGAGACAGCAAAATCAGCAATAAGACTAATGTTTCTAGTTTGTCAACAGAAACTTCAAAACTTTTAAATTTTTGTTCTCTGAAAAACAGAGTTAGTGTCTCTCTGTTTGGGTAAAATAGCTAAGAATTTGCAATTGGCACTAACCTGGTGGATGTAATTGTTGTTGTTGACCTATATAAAAACTTGTACATGCTGTTTATTATCTAATTTGTAAAAACACTTTCCAATTCAGTGATAAATCAATAACTAAATCAATAACTTTGCAGTCATCCATTCAGAAGCCCATACTCTTATCCAAATATTAAGAACAGACACCCAGATTATAGGCACAGATGCACAAGGTTTGTAATTTGTGGGGATACAGAAGCTAAATCAGTAACTTTCCAGTTCTGTAAAGGAGCTTCTGAGTGGTTCTTAACATATTTTGTTTTGATAAAAGTTATATCAATAGAAATGAATTATACTCTTATTATCTCTTCAAAATATAAATTAATTCATGCGGATCGAGTTCATTTTCATTCACAATTCACATAACAACCAAACCAAACAAAAAACTAACTTAATTATGGACTTTCTTTACGACCACTTATAGCAAATGTCATATTGTTGGTTGTCCCAGTTAAACATGCAAGGGCCACCATCACGTATAACCCAATAACACTCACTGCAATCTCTACCATCTCTCCAGTGATTATACACGTCGAACCAGTGAATCGATGCATCTGGCAACTGAAAACTGCAGTAGAATCGTGTTATTCCGATAAATGTCGGCTTAAAATGGAATTCAAATGAGTCTTGAGGTTGGAGCACTTGGATACCAATGTCATCATCCTCGGATCGGCAGTTAACGGTGAGGGTCGAGCCTCCCTCCAATGCATTTGTGACTCTAACATGTCTTGTCTTCCGACCAAGCCCTGCCCACGTGAAGAAGAAAATGAACATGGTGAGGAGAGCTACACTTCCATAATTGAACCGAGCCATGCCAGCTATGGCTTGTGAAGAAATTAATGTTATGACACTGGATGGAACATGCTTTTATAGTTGCTATAGTGCAATAAGATTGTGGTAACCGATGTGGTTGATAAAACCTAGTAACAATTTGATGGGAATAATAATGTGGAAAGATAAGTAAGTAAGAAAAAAGAACAACAGGTGAAATTGGAATGGCTCAATATGAATTAATTTGACAAAAAACGTAAAAGAGTTCATAATTGTCACATAACCGATATTGAAGATTTGTAAAAGGAATATTATAACTGACATTGAAGATTTCTTCAACTGAAAATCTTGCATTTGACCATCCTCGAGGAGCTCCTCTCCTCAAAACAAATGGGATTTTGAAACTTGTCAATTTCATTGAACTTTTTATTTTATTTTTTGAAATTCTTTTAACTTTCTTTGTTTTGGAACAAGTGTCAAAATCTCAGTTTTGAAGAGGAGATCCTCTTTAATTTTAAGGAGCCAAACTTTGATCTCTTGAATATAATGAACATAGAGCAATATGATTGTGTTCCATTTGGAGTACTTTTATTTATAAGAGACATAAATGAACATTAAATACATAACACGAGCCACCAAGGCTACAAGTTATCATATTCATTTTTTATTAGGCTTTTGTAGTACTAATAATATTAATAAGATCAATTAGTTTGATGAGGTTTTAGGTTCGACTCACATGAATAACAAGAACGATATATATATTTATTATGAGTTCTGATCAAAATGATTGCGGCTAGGAAAGAACAAATCTTGGCTGTAGGTTTCTCTTCCTCACGACACGAGGCTTTCTCCTTGTTAATCAACCAAAGAAGTTCGGCGATTAAGCTAGGAGGCTCTCTCCCGGAGTTATGATTGTCAAGATGGTGCTCCAAGAAAAAAAAAAAAAACTTAGTTGATATATTTATGTGGAATCCTACATAAAAGAAAAGATAAAGGCGTTGTGTGACTTTGGATTTTGATTGTTGGTTTTTTTCTTTCTTTTTGTGTCCTTTGATTCTGAATAGTTCCTTCCTATTTATAGGAAGAAAACCACAGCCTTAATAAGAGCCTTGAGTAGGAACAAAATATATAAGCACTGCGTTTGGTTGGTATGAAATGAGGTTGGGGGTGAGAAATCAATTGTTTTCCTAGGTTTGGTAAGTCCAAATATGGGAAATGGTTGCCTAACACATGAGAAAATATGATGAAAAATGTAACCCTTCCCTCCCCCCTTGGGTTTCATTTTCCCTTCTCATGAGAAACTTTGGGAAAATGAGCCAATGCACATTTGACCATTTTGTCTCCATTTAGAATTACAATATAGCATTAAATGCATGTTTTTAAATTTGATTTCATATGATATAATTGAAAAATTAAACAAACTTTGTTTTACATTCTTACTCAAACTAAACATGGGAAATGAAATAAAGTGGTATTTCCTAATTACTTGCCCAACATTACCAAACATGGGAAATAAATCTTCCATTTCCCATCATTGGAAAAGACATGGGAAATTATTATCTATCAAATATTTTTCGCAAACCAAACGGGGCCTAATAGGCTTTATGATGTAGTCAATACGAACCTTGATATGACATGACTTGTGTAAGAAGAAAACTCTTGCTTGAGTAGGAAGGAAGTCTTCTATGTTATATGGCTCCATCTCTCTATCTCTAAATGGGGTGAGAATACTTATGTGAGTGTGTTTTTGGGCGGTAGCACATGGACCTCCTTTTATAGACTTCACTCAAGAGTCTTGCCCATCAAGGAACTCTTGAACTCTCCTTAAGAGCATCCACAATGATGCTCTCTATTTCTTAGCTAAAATTTAGCTAAAAATATAAGAAAGCTATTTTAGGAGCTCTCTAAAAAATTTCAACTCCAACCATACTCCCTAATTTGGAGAGTCATAAATACTATAACTTTTTTTTATTGGTCAATCTCTATTAAAAAAAAACAATAGTTAGCATAAAATAAAGGTTTGAAATACTCATTTTTCTCTCCTCAAATTTAGGAGCTCCTAGGAGTCATTTTTTTCTCCTCAAATTTAGGAGCTCCTAGAGGACTCCCTATTTTAGGAGGTGGATAGGGAGCATGGTTAGAGTTGCATTTTTACAATTCTTTCCTAAAATTTGTCTAAGAAGGTGGTTTAGGAAGCCCATTGTGGATGTTCTAAGCCAATCTAATTAGATGTTGTAATCCACTTGAGCTTTAAAGTTTGGCACAATTTGTTAAGAGATTATCTATGGTCAAATTCTTTGCAACTTATTAATGGATATAATCCTTTTAGTATGAATAGTTTATCCGTCTGGGCGTGGATGAAATAAATTCCTAATCAACACAAGACTAGGAAATCTCAAATGATTAGAAAGTGTTCCAATAGAATATGAACTCTTACACATAGAAGAGGTTAAAGTAGAAAAAACCAAAAAGAAATGGACGGTGGATTTGCATGCTCAAGATCCTAGGGAAGTGGGAAGGGCCGATGGAAGTGGGGAGACATAAAGGGCACCAACTGATGAGTCAAAAAGAGAAGGGAAGAAAAAGGGACATTCAAAATAATGCCAAGAATGAAGTGAAGGCCATTGGCCACACATATGTGCCTTCGTGAAGAAGGCTCGCTCTGAACTCGGAAGAATCCAGGCAAATGCAATCAAGCAGATACGTGTACTAACCAAGCTTCAATCATAACCATGCGATCATATACCAAAAAAGGAAAAGAAAAATTCCTAACCCTTAGATGATAGACAGAAGAAGACAACAAGTCTCAAAAGGCCGAATAATACAAAGCAGTGGATCTTGACCCTGCGATATGGTCGTTGGATTGTATTTTTCCTTCGTTGCCTTTCTAACCTATCAGTCCACTACAGTGGTGGCATGTTCTTTTTGGGGACTGCAACTTGTAGCCTGGCTTTTTGTTCAAAGTATTATTCATTTTGGGAATATTTTTGTTCACTACTTTAATTTAAGGTATTATTATTCTCAATAATTGATACGTGTTCATAAGTATAACCATAGTTACATAAATTAAAATAAAATATTAACCATAGTTATACCTATAGACACGTGTTAAGTATTAAGAAGAGTGATAAGTTTACACCTTGGGTTAAAATGGTGAGCAAAAATATTTCCTATTCATCTACCCAAAAAGTTGGTGGTGTTAGTAATCTGAGCCCCATAATTAGACTTGTAAACGGGTAAGATTCGGATCAAATATACCTCAATCCAAATCTAAATCTATTTATAATCGGATTATCGGATTCATATCGTATTTAGACTATCAGATTGCACCTATCAATCCATATCTGTTACACATCGGATTCAGATCGGATTTATTTTGTGATGTACAAAAGAAATCAAAATTTCATTAGTAGCCTCGTTCTTTTATTGTATTTATCTACTTTTTATATCAATTTTTTGATATTTTATCATAATAATTAGTATTAAGTGTATTCTTAGTGCATAAAAAGCTAAAATTACTCATTTACACATATAAAATATTAATATAAAGCACAAAAAAAAAACTATATACTTCATACTAAGTCAGATTGGATCAACTATAATTCATATTCGGATTCATTTATAATTGAATTATTGGATTTGGATTGTAATCGGATTATCTGATTGAGATGTCTAATCCATCTTTTATTAATCACACCAGATTTGGATTAAAATCCGATCCATTGACAGGTCTACCCATAATCCTCGAGTGTTCTTTGGCATCTTTCTTCCTCATCTATTATTTACTGTGTGTTCTTCCCTTTTCAGATTGATTGATATACAAAAATAACAACAGTGCACAGGTGGAGAAAGGTGAAGTGCGAAAACCACATCATTTTGTCCTTAGAAATTTAAATGATGGGACCTTGGAGATGTCCTACACATTAAGTCTTCGTCTCCTACAAGCCAAGGGTAGGTTGCCGCCCTATTGCCAAAAAGGGCTCCACCTGTTGAGAAGGAATAGTGGAAATTGATCATAAGCCTTCCTTAAGAAGGTCAGAGAGAGAGAGAGAGCTTTCCTGGGAGGTTCCTACCTCATCAAGTAAATATGTCTATATAAGTAGGCCTCTAGTAATTAACTTCCATAGTTTCAATTTTCCACACAGAAAAAAGTTCTGTTTATATAGAATAGATCATCACCAGAGAAATGGAGGAGTTGCGTCAAATTGCATTTGCATATTACAAGGATGTACCGGAGCACATGAAGATGTGGGTGCAAGAGTTCTTGTCGGAAATCGACAAGGATGGGAACGAAAAAGTGAGCCTGCAAGAGTTCTTGGCATACATGGGCATGCATGAAGATTCGAAGCATCTCTGTACCCCAAGTTTCTTCGATGAGCTAAAGCAGGAAGGCAGGGAAGAGTTAGAGTTCATGGACTTGCTGGCTCTCTTCTACATTGTTTCCACTGGAAGGCCATTCTGCAATGGCCACTGCAAAAACTTCATAAAGGGAGGGTATTTCACTTGCGTCCAATGCTTTTACCATTCCCCCAAAACCTTCGATCTTTGCCCCGTTTGTTACCTCGACGGCAAGTATGTCCATGGCCACAAAAACTTCCTTGATAACTTCCTAGTGCTAAAAACCAAGAGGACAGTGGGAGATAATTTGAACCAGGACCAGCATGGAGAAGCATCAAGCATAACTAGTAAGGTATGCTCCTTAAATTAAGTTCATACATATAGTAAGTGCTGGAATGAGCTACCTATGGCCCATTTTTGTTACTGATTATATATATACGTAAGCTAATTTTAATGTTCTTTTATCAAAGTTATGTTGTCAAACTGTGAATTCTAATCTCATCTGAAATTCACAGTCTAGACTCTAAACATACGCATTTATTTTATTTTATGGAACATGGGGAAAATACAAAACGGTGTGATGGCATAAAATTTTGCTGTGTATTCCTATATATTCAGCTCATTAATTAATTTTCACTATATATATAATGCAGGCAAAGGCACCAGAGTCTGGCACTGGCAGTACACCAGCAGAGACAATCAATGCACTGGTTCCCGTGAATCCAAGGCCTAATGATGTAAGTTCCTCTTTCCCCCCAACTGATAGGTTGATCTGTCCCAACGAGGAATTTCATCTATGGAAATTCGAACTTAGGATATCAGATATATTGGAGACTAAAACTACAAGCTCAATCATATGCAAAACTTTTGTCATCCCCATTAGGACACAATTATTCTCTAATTAATTGTGATTATTTAGTTGTTAACGACTTTCAGTCATTCATATGGATGAGGATTGTGTGGACTCTATTATGTGGAGTAATGTGGGACTCACGACCTAGTCCAAAAGGACCCCCTGTTCTAGCATTGATAATTAATTCTCATTTTATTATTATTTATTATTGTTATTGCTAATTATATTACATATGCCTAAAACTTTTGTGATTGTGTATGTAGTAAATTACACGCTTATTTTTATTTTTATTTTATTTTTCTGTGATCTGAGAGTAAATGGCATGTTAGTCCTCTGAACCAAGTCATATTTCATTAGCAGACTTACATATTTAACCAAAATGAAACGTGATCACCTGTACATAGTTATTAAAAGGAAAAATATACATGTAACAAATTGAAATTATGAGATTGATCGGGAGGTCATTTTATTTGTTCCTCTCGTTGTATTTCTGTTAATTTTGAATAAATTTCTCTCATACTGTCGAGATTCCTGTGAAAAATCCGTTGTATTTTGGGATAATCTCTAAGAGAATATTTAATACTATATTTTCAGACAAGAGCAAGGAGGAAAGCGTTGAAAGCGATAGAGATTCTGCTCGCACTGGGAAATATCTTTGTTGCTTCCAGTCAGTGTACCATTATGTGATGAAGACTGATCCAGCAAATACAAAACTTGAGTCAAACAGTCAAACTTGTGAATGGAGAGTGGGGCCAACTATATATCACGCCGACGGATTTTTATTTTTTATTTTTTATTTTTTATTTTTTAAGTTTTTGGTTTTTAGAAAGTTAAATTCAAGAAATTTCTTGTATATTACCTTTTCTCCATGGAATCTTCTCACTCAGAAGTTGCAGATAAATTTACATAATTAATCGATTTAGATATCTAAACTAAACTATGAAATTAATTAATTACCCTCCTTTGTCTTTTGTACTTGGTAGTTTCTAAATTAAATCAAATTGAAGTATTTTATTCGGTGTCACTTACCCTCCATATGGAAAGGTTCTCTTTCCCGGAAGCCTCCTCGACATCGATGGCACACACAATGTGATTATGTGAGAATGGCCAAGTATTTGATTGTTACATCCACAAACAATTTCCTAGACTTTTCTAATATTATTCTAAGTCCTGATGATCTTCATAAAAAGTAGCTTTTGTATGTTCTCCTCGACAACTATAATTTAACTTCACGACCTAATTAGCCCAATAAATAACATAGATACTTTTTACATGATTATCGTTAAACAAACTTATTATTCGAGGGCATACATAAAAACTTACTGTATCCCTCACATCTTCTTCTCATGACCCTGAATCATATACTTGACAACTTGACTTCTTATATTGACTCAAATAACTTTGATATATGTTCAACTTACCACATTACTCTTCCTAATTACGCGAATTTATATTTTATTTTAAAAGGTCTCCATGTTATTTAGAGAGATCTAGCAGTTAATATACCTCTTTTATAGACAATCACTTCTCCGATGAGGGACATTAGTATTTGATTTTCGATTATTGAACTTAAGACAGCGTAGGTAACTAATTAAATAATATAAAGCTAGTAGAAAAGACTAAGTAAACATGTTGACTACTACTTGTCATGCAAGGCTCCAAAGGCAACCAAACTTTATACTAATAATTTGTTACATTAGATCAGAGATGACGTATCATTACCTGAAAGTAACACGTAATTACCTCCTCATTATTAGCTAGGAAGCTTCAAGTGTAAACCCCCACCACTGACTAATGGTGCCGACCTTAGTCACTTTGGAAATTTCCTTGAAATTAACCATATGATAATACACATACATATAAATAAATACCTCCTGTGACTGCCCTAGCTTGTGCCAATCAATCAAATCCAAGAAGTTCGCATAAATTTTTTTAAATGGAGGAGTTGCGCCAAACAGCATTTGCATATTACAAGGATGCCCCGGAGCAAATCCGGCGGTGGGTGGATGAATTTTTCCTGGAAATGGATCATGATGAGGACGACCGAGTGAGCTTGCATGAGTTCTTGACATACATGGAGATGCATGAAGATTGTACGCATCTGAGTAACCCTAGATTCTTCGATGAGCTGAAGAAGGAAGGGAGTGAAGAGCTTGATTTCTTGGACGTGGTGACTCTCTTCTACATCGTTTATAGTGGAAAACCCTTCTGTAATGGGGATTGCAAAAAATTCGTAAAGGGAGTTTATTTTACTTGTGTAAAATGCTTTGATCATGCCAGTGATGCCGCCAACACATTCAATGTTTGTACTGCTTGTTATGTCGATGGCAAGTACGTCCATGGCCACAAGAAATTCCTTGATAACTTCCTACTGCTTCAAACCAAGAGGATGGAAGCTTTGAACCAGCTGCCAGCATCAAGCATTCATGAGGTAGGTCAAGGAATACTGGCTTGTTTTCTTTTCCTTATTAATTGTTTTTTCAATTCCAGATCAACAAAAAAGTAATTTTATTAGGGCATTGGCAAGGGAAATCCAATCATATCCAATACTGTATGCTGAAATTCCTGGACTTCTTGTTATGTGACAATCTGATTTGCATGTCGTCGCTTTCTGGTTAGAACATAACACCTTTTTTTATTAGTTTTATTTATAGTTTAGATTCTATATAACATGTTATGTTTCAAATAGACGACACAGAGGGCACGGTGCTTTGCCTCCAAATTTTCCTCCTTCGACACCGATTTCCTCTTTTGTTTTGGGACAAATTTCCTCTTTTGTTTTTCATGGAGATAATAATTATTTATGCTGAGTGATCATTAATTAGTAGAGTTAAACATCTTTCATATTATAAATTAAGGGTTCCCCATCTTTGTCCGTTGGTTGAATCTTGAATGGGGCTGACGTTAAAGTTAAACCAAACACCATCCCGTTGTTGATTATATTTTGTGAATTAATTAATTACATATATATATTAAAAACAACTTGCTCCTAATCCATGAAGTTAGTGCAGGTCATGCCAATTTTAATTTATTTGCAGCTTTATAAAATTGTTGAAGAACAGCTGGCCTTGGCGGCCTAAGCCAAATTATGCAATTAATTAACTTTATAAACCATCGACTTTATGTAATGCTAGTCGAAGTCACCTGAGTCTGGTAGGACATCAGAGACGAGCAATAATTCTTCTTCCCGTAGACTCACCAATGAGCCAAGCAGTTCTGGTGCATCCACTGAAGTGGTTCCCGTGAATTCAAGGCCTAAAAATGTAAGTAATTCTCATCTCCTCTCTTTCTGACTAATAATTAGTGGACAAACCCTAGCATATTTGTTCTATTTATTTGTCTTTAATTAATTAGTACTTCATCGTGGACGATTCGTGCTCATTCGGAGACCTTGCTTGCTTGGCTGAATATGTTAATTTTCAGAGGGCAGGGAGGAAAGCGTTGAAAACGATAGAAGTGCTTCTCGCCCTGGGGAATATCTTTGCTTCCACTCAGTGTACCATTATGTGATCAAGACTGAGGAGCGCTAGCTAGAGCAATCATGCGTGTGTGTGTATATATATATTTTATATAATTTCAAGGTTCTTGTTTCCAATTAAGCACTTGAATCAAACTTGTGAAATAATTTGTAGTCTTCACCTGCTGAAGCTGAACCAAGGCTCCTTAACTCTCAACTAAAATGGAGAGAGAGAGTCCAATCACAGCGGCAGAGCTGGGAAATGCTGGAGTGGGGATACAAAATTGGAAACTACTTGTCTCTTTCTTAGGATAAATCACAGTCTGACATGTATACAAAAAATTTTCTTTATGTAATTTCTACGCTAGCTAGCTAGGCAATAAGATCGATCAAAATTAAAGGAAACATGCATCGCACTGCACTAATATTTCCACACTATTTTGTATTCTAGCAAGTAGATAGGACGAACTGCAGTAAATATGTAAGTATATCATGCAAGTCATGGAAAATTTAATGAAAAGCCTCTTCATCTATCCACACACAATTCTTGTGTTCATATTGTCTTTACCAGGTTGATGATGGCGGCAGTAGTGACATACATTAGATTATGAACGCAATATATAAACCCGGCCTTAATCTCCATGTGTGAAATGTGTTCAGAATTTTAGAATAATTCTCCTCAGCCCATCCCTCATCATCCCTTCTTCCGTTTTTCTTTCTAAGTAAAAAATAATTTTTTTTTTTTTTTTTTTTTTTTTTTTTTTTTTTTTTTTTTTTTTTATTATAAGGATGTTAGATAAGATGAATTATAGGACAAGTGTAGTGCGACTTTTTCTGGAAAAGCTTCCAAAACATATTATCCATAGATGACATGTTAACTACCCCTTAAAGAAAAAGAGAGGAGAGTGTTTTTCTATTTTTCTCCCTTTTCTGAACACTTTGGACGTCCTAAAATAATAACATTGACCCAACCACTCCCACAATCATCCTAATCTTCATTATTAGACTAATTGGGAACGGTTAAGCATCAAAGTAACACTAATGTACTGCTTTCCAAGGCCGTGGTCGGCAAGGACCATATCCTTCTTCTAAAGTATCTTTTGAGGTCCTTGTTGATTCTTTCAAGTCCTTCCAGAGAAATTTTGTTAGAATTTAAGTGGGAAAAGAGTTTCCTACACTCTTTATAAGAGTAGGGATCTTTCACTATAATAAACACAATTGGGTTTTTCTGAAGTGGGCTTTGGACTTGTTGGCCTTATTTAAATTAAATATATATCCTTATATATTTAAGTTTTTGAACTTTGGATAACTTCAGTTAGTTTGAAATTCAAAGTTCAGACATATTTATTTAAATAGCCAAACGTACAGAGAACCAAAAAAACTTTGAAACCCAATACATCTCACACAACACTGAAAACCATTGAGAGTACCTATACTGTAGTTCGCCAGATAACAAATTTAAGGACATAGCAAATCTGCTAGCCTCTAGCATCTCTGCAAGTTAGTATTTCTGGTTAATACAAACTCTTGTATCTGTAATTTCTTTTTGTCATATATTGGTTCATTTAAAAGCATTATATATATATATATATTCTGTTATATTCTACAGGTTACTGATTGTTTCCAACAAATTTTAAAGAAAACAAATCAAAATGTACAAATATTCAATCACCCCACTTGCTACATATATAACCATGCATACCCGACCTAATTAAATTATTAACCAAAAAACGGACGTATATAGACAGTTTGGATAATTGAAAATGGAGGAGCTGCGGCAGACGGTGCTTGCTTATTACAAGGATGCTCCACAACACATAAAGCGGTTGGTGGATGAGTGTTTCGTAGAGATGGACCTGGATGGGAATGACCGAGTGAGCCGGCTAGAGTTCTTGGCATACATGGAGATGCATGAAGATTGCAAGCATCTGAGTACTTGCAGCTTCTTCAATGAACTCAAGAAGGAAGAAAAGGAAGGGTTAGATTTCATGGATGTGGTGATTCTCGTCTACATAATTTACAGTGGAAAACCATTCTGCAAGGGCACTGTGGAAGCTTTATAGAGGGAACGTATTTCACTTGTGTCATGCTTTGATGGCCATGAGCATGGCCAATGTAGTGTCCCAAACAATACCTTCAACGTTTGCGCTGCTTGTTACTTTTGATGGCAAAATTTGTCCATGGAGTCAAATTGTTTCTTGATAACTTTGTGTTGCTTCAAACCAAGAGGATGGAAGCTTTCAAACAGCGCGCATATACATAAACAAATTTAAATACCATACATGCTTCTAATTTCGGGTTTCTTAATTTTTTTAAACATATTTTATTAAAATTATTTGCTGCAACAATTCTTGAGAATATTTCGAGTGATTTTAAATGTTTCAAATTAAAGGATTTTTGTTTCATTGTTTCATGTGAAACAGTTAAAGACATCTGAATCTACACTCACAACAACGGAGCCAAGGGGTTTTGCTTCATGCTAAAGCAAATGCAACATAGTCGAGTGCAGGTACCACAGTGGTGGCCTCCCTCTTTCCCACTGCACGACACCTAGGTTCAAAACTCCAAGGAATTTCTTTCCTACCAATGTAACAAAAAAAAAGAAAAAAGCAATGCACCATAGAATTGTATCTAGCACCAACCATTCTTTTAAATTCTTCTAACAGCAGCGTAAATGTATGTCTCACAAAGATAAAATCATATCATATGGCACATGAGACCAAGTTGGGAACAAAGGCATGATGCCCACAGGCTCAAATATTCATAATTGAAAACAGACACGAAAGAGGAATATAATACAATAATATAAATGTACTGTTGGATAACCACTAGACCCAAAAGCTTGTAACGAACTTTAAACTAGTTGACCACATCTTTGCTCCTCTTGATTTGCACAGAGCATTTCTTTCTTCTCCCTGTATGTTCAGCTTCGCACATGCAGCTGCCATAACACAAATTCAGAGCATCGAGATACTTTCTCAATGCCTACCTGCAGCTACCATAACACAAATTCAGCCGTTTACTTTTGGTCCCCCCACCCAAATATAAAATCCTGGGTCTGTGTTAGCCTTTTTACTAAAACAACGAGAGATAAGTTGTTAACATGATCAAGTATAAAGAAAATCCTATTGCTTATCGACTGGAGCTTTCTAATTGTTTTTCACATGACAAGGGTAAGATTTGACATTTCAAAGAGTATCAAATGCCAGAAATATATATTTAACTGTTACTTGACTTGCAAAAAAAATCCAATGGCGGTGTATCTTAACCATAGTATAAAATATCGATAATATCGACAAAATATTGAGGATATTATTGTTTTTTCGGGTCACAGATATTCCGGAACGTATTCATACACATATCGATGTCGATAATTTCGCTCACACTTCAGCAATATTTTGTCAAAATATCACTATAATATCGAAAATATCGATGTAGTTGGAAAAAAAAACCAAACAAACAAACAAACAAAGCACACACACAAAAGGGATTCAAACCCTTGCCATTTCACTCTCCAATGCCTTAACCACCATGTTGCTTATGTTTTTATGATAATATGCTAAAATATGTATATTTATATTGTTATGTTTTGAACAATTACATGCAAAACTATTTTGGGGGTTTATCATTTGATGACTACTTTTCACAATATACTTACTCTACACATAGAGATGATGAAGAAAGTGAAAATTTTGAACCTCATAAGAACTTTGTGTTGTACTAAGTCACTCATGTATCTTACCACGCAATGTATAAAGTGTAAAATATTATAGTAAATCATTATATATAAATGATTATGGTGTGTTTAATTTTCTGTCATTAATTACAACATATTTTCTACACTCAATGTTTGTTAGCTTGCTATATAATCAACTTAAATTAGTTAACCCATCATGCAATGCATTTCTTTCCAATTTTTGTGACAAACTAATAGATAATTGACTGAATAAACATCCTCCAAAGTTTCAATAAAAATTTCCAAGTTTTTCTTACAATTTCCGTGGTTTTTATTCAATTTTTATCGATATCAATAATATCTCGATATTTCCATCGAAATTTCTATGTTTTTAAACTACCGATATTTCCGATACCATCGATATTTTAGACATTGATCTTAACAAGCCTTGAAGAAGGATATACTAGGAAATTTTTTTTCAAAATTTATGGAGACAAATACTTCTTATAAGATTCCCAAGAACTACAAAAACTTGAATTCAGAATGCGATAGAATTATAAATAGTTGATAAACAAGGAAAACTAGATGTAAAAAAAAGAAAAAATATTTGGAAATTGGGAAATGATAAGGCTCAGGAGTCAGGACTCACGAACAAAAAGCAATAAAAATTGAAAAAGAAAACAAATCAAATATTATTATAAGATATTTGGAATTTGGAATGCGATAGAATTATCACTCACAACACAAGTCACAAGCACAAGCAAAAAGCAATAAAAATGGATACAGAAAACATAGCTAAACAAGGGATCCCATAGTCTGTTGGCTTTTCTACTTCTCTCGCTGCTTCATTTTTTAACTAATAAACACAAACCAAACCACCCATTTCGTTTTAAAATTAAAAAAATTAAAAGAAAGAAATTACCTTGCCATCATTGTATCAGTGGTGGGTCCCACAGTTCTCCAATTACAAGGGAAGGTACATGTTGAATTTTATAGAAATCCTCTTCATCTTCTTCAATCCGACGGTGGAGTTCTTTACACATCCCTATGATGGTTAATTCCCTGAGATTAGTAAGATATCTCAGCCCATCTGGTAGTGTCATCAATCCCCCACAATATTGCATGTGCAATTGGCAGAGACTAGGCACGGCTCCTTCCTCTACCCTCAGCTCTGTTATTTCTTCCATATTATGAACATAAAGAAATTCAAGAGAAGGAAAGCCTCTTTGGAGAAAACCAGTATCTTTGTATTCTCATGGAAAACGTACGCCAAATAAAAGACGCAAAGTTGTTAGGTTTGGTAGCTTCTTTAGTATTCCCATTTGGTCCTCCTTGAGACCACACCTACACAACTCTAACTTGGTGAGGTTTGGATAGTTGGGGAGCTCTTTTGGTAATTCTGCAATTGGCCCTACCAACGCCAATTTGTATATACCTTGACAGCTTGATACTATTTGCATAGCTTGCTCTTCACTGCTATTCGTTTCAGAATCGTTGTGCACAATTAGAGACCAGATACGGTTAAGCGTGCTGCCTATAGATTTTAAGATTTCCTCTAGATTTTGCAAAGAGCTTGACAGTCCTATTCTCAGTTTTCTAAGATTTGTTAATCTAGCAACATGTTTCATATCACAATACTCACTTGAAAGGCTATCTAAGGTCTGTAGATGGCCAAGAGTAGACAGCTCCAGCTTACCCTTTGCTCTGTATTCCCAGGGTAAATATAAATGTCTTAATTGTTTCATCTTCTTTATCACATTTGGGATGACTATGGTGCAACTGGAAACACGAAAATCAAGAGTTTGCAAGCATACTAAATTACCTAGGGACGGCGGAAACGTTTTTATTTCGCTCTCCTTCACACTTAGAAACCTTAAGTGTACCATATTTCCAATTTCACTTGGCAACTCTACTTCTACTTGATTAAGACCTTCAACCTTCAAAACTCTAAGCACTTTGAAATCCTTCAACAGAGATGATAATCCTTTTTCACTTTTTGGCCTCCATTCTCTTAGGCCAAAGAATAATAGAGACCTTACGTGCTCATTTGTTTCATCTCTTAAAGGAACCAACCTATCTGCGTTCTCATCCAAGTACATGGCAAGTCTTCAAATTTTCCCCAATTGTGTTGCCTCGGCTGCCACAGAAGAAGTATATAAAGCACAGGCTATAGCAAGCTATAACACTTTTCTTGTATCACTAGCTATATATCTGGCGATGGAAGAACTACATGCAGCAGCTTATGCATACTATAACAGTGGCAATGAAAATACTCATCGTGTAGCATATGATTTCTTTCGGTCCATGGATACAGACGGTGATGGCGCAGAATCAGCTACGCGACGGTGGCCTAGATTTGCAGGAAGTACTTACGTTCTACTATATCATCAAAACAAGGTACATCACCTGGTTTGATGGAGGAGCAGCTAATTATTATTATTATCATCATCAGTATCCAACGTATGACCTGTGTGCTGCTTGCTATGGTAATGCCAACTACATTCACCAGCACTCATACTTCTTGGATAACCACGTTTTGCTATGCTCCAAAAGAGGCCCTCCTCATGCTCCGCCAAATCTTGCCATGGTAATTGAATTACTAATTCTAACATCATATAACATGTTTATTTATTTTGGAATGGAAGTATGGAATTGGAATTAAATCAACTGCCAAGGTTTTTTAGGTATTTAATTACTAATTCTGAGGCGAGACATGGTTTTAAGTAATACGGTAGGTCATCATAACTCAATGCCAAAACCCATGATGCACCTTCATATTCTTCTTCATGACCTATCCCTCTCCTTATGTATTCATGAACATTCTCATGCACTATTTCCCTGCTTCTTCATCTCATACTTCATAAATTTCACCACCCATCTATCTATTACTCCATGTAATGCGTAGATTTGTGGGTTTTTGTTATAATATACATAAGTTTAGCATGCAAGTAACCAATCCCCCTCGGACTATATTTGAGGAATTAGAGCCTGTAAGGAATTGCGTTGCTTAATTAACAAAGCAGATGGAGCCTAGTTTTAACAATGATGATAACATTCTTTCTCAAATGGGGACGTTACATATCTACAACCTCAAAGAGCAATATGCAGAAGAAAGCTTTTCAAAGATAGAACTTCCTTTACTTCAGGTTGGAACTTATGCTGTTAATTGTGTTAAATTGCAATTACTTTATTGTTTTATTGTTCTCCCGTTCTGTTGTCGTCTCTCGGATTGATTAAGATAAAGACGAGATCAGATCAGGCTGTTGCCGCATGAGAGCTTTTATGTGTTTAGGGGCGAGAAAATATCGTCTATGGGTTCGAGTAATTTATCAAGACCGGGCGCTGTCGGCGATTGGGGTTTAGGGTCGGGAAGTGAGGGGAAGAAGAAGTAGGCTGGGAGCCATAGTAGGATTGGGTTCAATGAGAATTTGGCAAGTGGGAGTTAGGTGATAATGGCAGTAATTCGGATGCTATGTCAACTGGTAGTGTACCTTCGGATCCTATGTCAACCTGCTGGCGCGGTCGCGGCTACAGAACCGTGAATCCTCTGCTGAAGCTTTCAACTTCTTTCTTCCTGGTAATTGGGAGCACGCTCTCTTCCTGGTTGGCAAACCATACAGCAATATAATGCCAATGCTCTTGTGCTTGGTTCGATTATTTTTAATCGATTTGTTTGTGGACACAAAACGTACTTCCATACATACAAATAGGCTGAAACTAAATCCAAACCAGAGAAATGTAACTGGCGCCGTTGAATAACATGTGCTCCTCTCTCTTCCAATGTGATCCTATCACTGACAACTGAAACCCAACTTTCAACAAGATCTCCAGTAAACTTAACGCCGTTAAGGTTAGAGTTACATGAGGTTTGGAAATTTAAAATTTAAAAAAATTGATTTAAAAGTTTGATGACGTGTCTGTGATTGTTGATGGGATTTTGGTGAGCAGATGCAGAACAAATGGATTCCATAACTTACGAGCAGCAAGAAGGAAAACAACAGTGAAGTTGTTTCAGTTCAGTTCAGACCTGTTCATGAAATTTCATATTGATTTGTTCATTTTACTGAAATTTCAATATGGCTGCCTTGTAGAAGTATACATGCTCTGTAGATGGGAATTATGTGCTTCTGCTTCTCAAGCACTCTGTTTGTGTTTGGATATCTAGATTGGTTTGGGTTTCCGTGGATTTGAAATCCAGTGGTGACGAAGCAAAGAATTCTCTTATGTGCAAAGGCTGAAAAAAGGCGACTGACTTAACTTATATGGAGTGAGCCAAATTTACCATACAATTTTACGTAAAAACGACGACGATCGATAGGGAACTTAGACACTTGGACTGTTTGTTTGGTCTCTCTCTCTGCATGTACTCGGACCGTCTTGCTCTGTTAGTCTTTGAGGTAAATTTTGATTCATTCATTCTAAACCAGGAAATTGAAAGAGTATAGCAGTTGATGTGCTTGGACTCCATCTTATATATGACTTGGTCTTCCTGCCTTGAATGCCTTGGACTGTGTCTTGGTCTGTTTTTGTGTGTGTGCGTGTATTTTTTGTATGTTGAATTAGTTTGAGATCCAATCCAAAATTAATTGACAATTAATTGCTGAAGAAGTTCTAGATCTTTTAAAGACCGACACAACTTTCATACTTCAATGTTAAATGCTCATAATTTTGTAACACACTTAGGAAAAATTATTGTATAATTAACATCATCAACGTGGTGTAACAAATCAACTCAAATTACTATGTGACGGTGTCCCTGTCATAGCCAAAAAATAATTCATAAGATCGTGGAAGTCAAAAAGAAAGTGTTGGATGATATTCGTAGTTACTATATATATTATACCCTTTGGGAGCCATGCTCTTGTAAAGAAACAATAAATTAAGTCATGATGTTACTTTTGGGAGCATAAACTAAAAGTTCACTTTTGATTTCCATGACTCATGTTCAAGATGTTGAGATTATAGAACTTCATATTGGTTTTATTTTTTATATTATATATATAATTATAAATAATTCACAATTGTCATTAATGAGATTTGATTATGTTAATTTTTTTTTCTTCAAGTTTTTTTTGTTTACATTTAAAATAAAATATTACGTAAATTTTAATTAATCAGACGTGACATATAAGTTAACATAAGAAAAGCGACTTTGAATAAACGCGGCTCTGATTAACGAGATGCAGCTTGTGTTCTAGTCTAGTATGGGACCAAATTGATGCAAGGAGTTGTCGTGTCGTTTTGCCTCCTATCTCTGCTTTCATTGTCACTGTCAATTTTTAACCAGATCGATTGGGAATTTGGACACTGAGTACTGTGTTTTAGTCTCTCCGCGTCTTCTCTGACTATCTCAAAATGTAGAGGTGCACAAACTTTACGCAACATCCCAAACATGAAGACTTGGAGTTGACCAAGACAAAAAGAAAAACAAGAAGACTTGGAAATTAATTAATATTGGAGAGTTTGAATATGTATATATATATATATATAGAAAGCTTAATATATAATATTATATGCATAATTGATATTCAGGATTCCTCTCTCAAAACCAAAGCCAATATAAAGCACATGCTATATTGGATTGCTTGCTATCACTAGCTATATATCTGGAAATGGAAGAACTACATGCAGCAGCTTATGCATACTATGACCGTGGCAATGAAGATACTCGTCGTGTAGCATATGATTTCTTTCGATCCATGGATACAGACGGTGATGGCAGAATCAGCTACGCCGAGTTCAACGACTTCGTCCAACAAAGTGGATACAACTGGATCCTTCATAATGACCCCAACTTGTTCGCTAAACTTGACCGCAATCGCGACGGTGGCCTAGATTTTCATGAACTACTTACGTTCTACTATATCATCAAAACAAGGTACATCACCTGCCAAGGCTGCCGAGCACACCTTTGTGGCTTGTATTTTACGTGCGTTGAGTGCTTTGATGGAGGAGCAGCTAATTATTATTATCATCATCATCAGTATCCAACGCAGAGATTAAAAATCTTTAACCAATCCTTAACGCAGAATTCTTAACATTAATTAAATCAGATGTGATATTAATTTATTTAATAAATTGATTAAGGGGATTAGTGGGAACATCGTGAAAATATAATTAGTAATTATTGCAAATAAATTTGTTGTTTTGGGTTGATTTCTCGAAGCTCTTGCTTTGGGTTTATTTATTTAACAGAGGTTAATTTTGTTCTTTGGTATCATATATTTATTTCCCTGGTTGTTAGATGGTTTGATTTTCTGATTCGAATTGCCATATGACTCATGTAGGCAGTCGCTCAACAGAATCCTCTAGTGATTACTAATAATTACTACGTCAATCAAGCTGCGCCTCAAATTCAAAGGGTGAGTTGAGCTTCAGATACGTTGAGATAAAAATGCATTAATTCTTCCACTGAATATGCTTTATATGCTTTTGCTTATATATGTTTTTGACTTTTCAGAATAGATGGTACCAAGCATTTCAATCATTAGAGATGGCTCTTTCTATTTCAGCTTTGGCTACCAACTGCACAATTATGTGATGTTACAAAAAAGGCCTTTCAGAGTTGTCCTATTTTCTTTCCATGTTGGTAAAGTTTCGTTGTCGATTGTATTAAATACAATAAGGAGTTGACTTGGGATTCAACTAGCCAACTAGCCAGGAAAGACCTCTAGTCTCCTTGGACTCTGTCTTGGTCTTTCTGTCTTTGCCCTTTTCTTCTTCCCCGCTGTAATATTATTCTCACAAGTGAGTTAATCATTATTTAAGACTATTTCTATGTGACTATCGCTTGTATTTAAAAAAAATAAAAAAAGAGACTATCAAATTGTTTTTCACTAAATGATGTCGTAATTTTATGTTTTCTCGAATCTAAAGATATCAGCATGTGACACAACGCATAATTTGATGAACAAATTTAAAGACTCTAGCATTATTGTATACAATATGTTTGTACCCAATTTTGGTAAATGGACCAAAAATGGTCTAACGGGTTAAAAGAACATCTTAAAGAGAAATCCAGGGCCATTAACATTTGCCTTTTCTTATGGATTATTTTAGCACGTAAAATTGAATTCCCGTCTTTGTCCCTTTATAAAAGTCTAAAGAATCAACGTTCAGGCCCAAAAGGGACTCGGGGCCTGAATAAAATAACAACGATAGGAGGGACAGGAAGTTGAGTTGGGCCCGAATTATACCATTGGGCCCGAGTTAAATATTAATCTAGCCCGAGGACAATATATATTGAAACTGGTTGATAAAACCCATATAAGGTCTTCCTAACCACGATTTTGGTCTCTCTCTTACCTGTTCAGGTACTGCTCATGTTTGTCAGGTTGACACTTGCGAAGAAAAGAATGTTGAAATCCTCTTAACTGAGGCATAAAAAAGAATCAATCCAGGCCAGTACCCCCCTTGGAGCACAATGGCTTGAAAAAAAGTCCAGAAAAAGATGCGCGAACTCTATCAGAATTAACCAATTCACAACCATCCATACCAGATCTATTGGGCAGGTCATATACCCAATAGTGGCACGACTACACAACACCACGAATCAGAGTCAAGAAGAGTTGGAAGATAGGGACTCGATCGAGCCCGCTTGTTTTTGGCAGACTGATTCAACTTTCAATATTGTTCAGAAATTGAGGAAGTCCTCTCTGTGAGCCAAGAGACACATCCAATCGGGGCATTGGTGTTGATCCAGCAAACCTCTCCATTCCTCCGAGTAGAGCTGATCCCCGCGAGCGGCGAAAAGGAACGGCGGACGGAAAAAAGGACCAACACAATATTGATCGAGTATATATTAAGCTGTTAATTAGAATGTCAACCCAACAACAATTTGATTTTATTTAAACATAAGACTCGGTTAGTACTAATATAGTACTTATATAATACAAAATTACAAAAAAGAAAACGAAAGAGCAGAAAAGCTGCCTATAGGCTATAGCTGTACTGTTCTAACTTCTATATGGAAATGGAAGAACTACATGCAGCAGCCTTAGACTACTATTCCAATGGTTCTCCGGAACTTCAGCGTCTGGCATGGTCTTTCTTCCAATCCATGGACACAAACAACGATGGCCGAATCAGCTCCTCAGAGTTTTATGAATTTTTGCAGCAAAGCGGTTACAGCTGGATCATCAACGACCCCAGTTTCTTCACGAAACTAGATCGAAACCGCGACAGTGGCTTGGATTTTTATGACGTGCTCACCTTCTACTACATTGTCAAAACGAGGAACATCTTGTGCCAAGGGTGTAGAGTGTACCTTTGTGGCTTGTAGCGTTGCTTGCTTTGATGTAGGAGCTGACCATCATCAGGGCACCTATGATCTCTGTGCTGCCTGCTACCGCATCAGGAATTTTTATCACTACCATACGTATTTCTTGGATAACCATGTCTTGCTGCGATCCAAACGAGGCCTTCCTCCTTGTGCTAGCCCCGATCTCAGTAAGGTAAAGTGCTTGTTTCGTTATTTGGATCATCTTTTGCTAATCACCTTTTACGAGGGTGCTTAGCAAGATAGTTGAGATGTGGTATATGTTAATGGATCTTATCTAGAGTAATTGAGATGCGTATACAATGTGCTTTTACGAAAGTAGCTAATTTGAGTTCCTATATGGTTGATTGATGTAGGCAATGACTCCAGTTCCATAGCCTCTGGTGATTTATAACAATTATTACTTTCAAGCACCTGAAAGGGTGAGTGTCTTTTTCTTTGATTTCATGCTCATGTACCCCTTTCAATTTTAAAGGATTGAAAGGTGGACATTTTCACATTTCTTATTTAATTTTCTTTTGTTTTGTACATTTTTTCAGAATAAATGGTTTCAAGCATATCGTCTATTTGAGATTGCTGTTGCTGCTGCAAGTGCTGCTGCCAATTGTACAATTATGTAATGTTATTACAAAAAGGGTTTAATGGATGCCTATACTGGATCCCCAGAAAGTGAGAAGATATAGGAACAATCACCGATCATAGTTGGAGAATTGCGCGAGATCATTTCATGTTTTTCGTCACAAGTTCATACTTTGATTTTTGTTTTTATTCAACAATATAAAAAACTATCGGTCATAAGATTTAAACTGAAAAATGAGGTCACTGCCTTCAATCCCCTCTCCTTCTCTTTCCTTCTCCCTTTTACTCTTGCCTTGTTCTTCTCCGTGGTGGATTGTTTGGGCTGTTGCCCTGTGTTGTGGAGGTTTCTTCCTCTGTTTAAATTTGTGGGGTTTTGTTTGCTGCAAAAGGCTTGTGTCTTTTTGCTTCCCCACTCATGTGGGTGTTTGCTTGGCTGGGTCAGCCGTTGTTCTTTTGCTTTTGGTTGTTTATTTGCAAATTGGAGTTTCTATCGAACTTATCACAAATAGAAATCGTCCTTGCCATCCATGTAGGTCGAACTTGAGGACCTCCTCTAATTAAATAGAGACAAATACCACTATCTCACTCAAATTCATAGCTTTCTATTTTTATTTTTTTAGAGGAAGCCAAGCTAGCCGTCATCCAAGAGAGAGAGAGAGAGAGGGGGAATGGACTATTTTCATCAACAGCTGTAGTTGATAAATTCAAAAAAATTCATCAATGACTTTAATTCATGAAACTTGAACTTGAAGTCCTCTAACAAAATAGAACGATGGTTACCATTAGACAAAAAGATGATTATTAACTTTGTTTTGTATTAAAAAAAGGGATAATGGAAAATTTAGGACCATAATTTGGGAGCCCGGTTCACTCTGTACTGGAAGAAGTAAAAACAAAAGGAAAATACCCAAGCACCACTCGCCGTTTGGGATTTCGGACTACTCACTTGGGTCCACGAATTGAAACCCAAATAATGATCATGTGGGAGTGGGAATAAGACTCAGAGTGAAAATAGCCGCACTAGTTGAATGTGGCAGTTACCTCACCCCTCAACCATTTTTTTCCACATTTTTTTTAATAATTAAAGTTAAAATTAAAAACATATTTTCATAAACATAAGTAAAAAGCCAAGAGGCTAGTAAGAAAGAATAAAAGGAAAAGACCAAACACCTGTCCTTTCGCTGCCCAAAACAAACAAAAATAATCCCATCAAGCTTCCAGGCCAGTCTCCAAGTAGTAGCCTTTTATCTCATCCCTGTTGCCTTTCTGGCGGGAAGTTAAGAACAGAGCTTCGCATTTGGCGAAAGGAAAAAACTCCTCTAAAACCCTAGAAATTCAAAAATCCCTTCACAACCAAAAAGTTGGATACACTGTCACCACCACTCGCCATGTACTGGCTCGCTACTCGTAACGGCGTCGTCTCTCTCCCTCGCTGCTGTCATCTTGCTCTTCTTCTTCGCTCCCCTCCTCGTAAATGCAGCAGCTCTTTCATTCCCTCTCCGCCACTCTCTCTCTCTCTCTCTCTATCTCTCTCTCTCTCTCTCTCTCCCTCTCTATTTATGTTGTATATGGTCTTGGGTGGTTGAAATTTCTCTAAAAGGAAAATCCTTTTGAAGCTTGAGAGAACGTGCTTTATTCACTTGTGCGGAATGTGTGTTATTTATATATGTATGAGAATTAAATTTCCATGGAATAATAGTTCTAAAGTTTGGTTCATTGATGCCAAGTTTGGAAAATGGGTTCTGGGTCTTTCTATTGAATGCATGCCAGGTAGTTTCAAACTTAGAATTCTAAAATTTTCTTCTAGAAGTATTTTGTATAAAATAAAAATAAAAATCATAACTTCATTAAAAGCAAGATAACCCGGAAGCAAAGAAATATGAAACCCTCTGTAGCTGTATTGGTTTTTTTGCTGATGCCAAAGTAAACCGAAGTTATTACTCAACAATGTAGTTCGTTTTATTGTATTTTCAAACATGGTTATGATCAATCTGGTATAGAATCCAAATGTTGTCTGATGATGATTTCCTTCGTTTTATTTATAAAAAAAATGGAAACAGAAGAATAAGTCAAGGTCTGATTAATTACTTGTTTAAAGAGTGTGCCATACTCACTGGCAAAGTAGGTAGTACTTTGTTTGTGTGTATTATTTCTTAAATTTCAAGATTCAGATTTTAGTACTGTTGGTTATGTAACCTTTATTTTCATTTTTGCATTTGATTCTTGCAATTTACCATTGTGATTTAACTAATGCTATTGAGGATTCTTTTTGTACATTACTAGTGGACAGTTTCGAAGGATTCGTTGTTTCAAAGATCAAAAAGTTTTAAGAGGAAGCAGAAAGGCGACCAATAAACTTAATGCTTTGAATAATTTCCTGGATGAAAGAGTTCTTTCTAACATACTGTGGTGGAAGGAGGTTTGCTATTACATTTTATTGTTGTGATTAGACACACTTTTTTCCTTTTGTTACAAGCATTCCTTGGGAATATTATTTCTTGATATATTTCATTGTCATGGGTTTTTCATTTGCAGAGGATGGAGATGTGTAGGAAGCCATCAACTGTCCAGCTGGTTAAAAGGCTTGACTATTCCAATTTGCTAGGCTTGGATGTTAATTTAAAAAATGGGAGGTGAGATCCCCTTGTGATGCTAAAGTTGTCTTATTGCTATTTTAACTGTATGCTTATGGAAGAGACAATGAGAAGAAAAAGATATGAGTTATGCGTTGTTCTTTTCTGCTCTTATTAGTTTGTCTTGTGAGCTTTTTCTTGCATATTTTATGGTAATTATTCTTCTGAGCTATTTTTTGCATGCTTAAATGACATGAAGGACCAAACTGTAGTTTCCTCAAATTTAATTCCCGAACTGTGGTTATAGGCATTGTATCTCTGCATTGGAAAAAAAAAGTTCCTTTTCGTGGTTAGTCAGCATATTAACATAATTTCATAAATCTCAAGGAATTGAATTCCTATATAAATAATTATTTGATCTAACCTGAAAGGTCTCTAAGAGTGTTTCCCATGGTACAAGAGTATCCTTTCAAAAATTTACATGTTCATAGTTTTTGTATGAATATAAAACTAAAAATGGCCCACTTTCTTAGAAGCTTCATAAAGATTACTTCTTTATTTGTAAAGCTCATTAAGTCAAACTTGTTTGTTTTAGTCTAAAAGAGGGAACACTCAACTGGGAGATCTTGCAGTTCAAGTCAAAGTTTCCACGTGAGGTTTTGCTCTGCAGAGTATGTAACATATTTCTTTATCAGCCCTCTTGGTTATAAGAAACTTTTTCTACCAAATTGCATTGGGTTGCCTTACGAAATGTCTTTGTATTCATTAAATGTTTATATAGTGTCCATTAATGATAGATGCAACAAGTGTTTTATTTCACTTATATTTCAGGTTGGTGACTTTTATGAAGCCCTTGGAATAGATGCTTGTATTTTGGTTGAATATGCAGGTTTGAATCCTTTTGGTGGCCTGCGTTCAGATAGCATTCCAAGAGCTGGATGCCCGGTTGTGGTATTGATCATACTTTATTATCATATGCATGTTATATTTCCATTCCTTGATCTTTAAATATTCTTTTGCCTTTAAATTTCATTCTGCCTCACATTCAGAATTAATAATTTCTTTCCTAATTTTGAGGAACTTGTATATTCAAATAGTAAAACCCTACTGTGCCATTTGCATGAGAATTACTTGATTTAATGAAGTTTTGAATGGATTTCCAATGGTTGAGTCAAGAAGATGAGTTCAGATTTGTGATAGTAAGGAAGGTGGTTTTAACTCATAAGTGCGGTGCCTAACACGAGGGCTTGTTTGCAAGCCATTACTGGGGCATCTGTGTGAATTAAAGTATGAATTCCTTGTTCCTTTTTTCTTCTCTGGGAAATATACCATGTGTAGCAAATTGGAGATGCTGAAGGGGTCCTTCAGATGTGGTGTTATTTTGCATAGTTCTGGGATGATATCTTGGGAATCATGTTAAATAATTGGTACAGCATAATTTCGTCCTGTTTCTTTTGTATTTTTCTTCCAAGTCTTTATTTTTCTGTTGCTGTCACTGCTTGCTTGCATAAATTTTTTATTTTTTCCCCATTCAATCTAATCTAAGGACATGGTTCTTCGACTTTTTGTCGATTAATTTCTTCTCTATGCATTATTATTTTGGATGCATTTAATCATGCATTTGTTCCCTTGGGGACTCAATGCATAATTGCATATGATTTGCAGAATCTTCGTCAAACTTTGGATGATCTGACACGGAATGGGTTTTCGGTGGTAAGTTTAGCATTTCTGATAACTCATCTAATGTATTCATGAAATTTAAGATCAGAGTTTTAACATGCTTTTCTAAGTATTCACTTTACTGTTGTGCGGAATATGCAATTAAGCCTTTGAGTCTTCATTATTTTCTGCTCCACTCATGGACTGGGGACTTGGTGCCTAAATGGTATAGTTCCACCTGTGAACCACTGATGCATGCTTCATTGGGTGTTTGTCCTGTACTTATCTTTAGATTTGTTGCCTCATCAATTGCCTTATTAGTCATCTTTTGGTCATGTGAGTAGGGGTGGGCACGGTATGAGATGACACGGGATGGAGGTCATCCCGGTGTCAATTCCGAATAGGAGAATCGGTATGGGATGACACGGGATGAGAATTTTTGAAAACATGTTCAAACCATACCGAACCTAATCGGGATTGGTATGATTCGGTATCAATGTTGATACCGTAAAAAATCTGCAATTTCCCAATTGGGGCTTCGGGATAGGTTGGAGCTGTAGATTCAAGAATAATATACCTGCAAGGCTGCATCAAACAGTAATTTCAGATTCATGCAAATACAAAAACAGAACAATTTCTCAATTTTGAAAACACAAAACTAAAACCAGCAGTTTGATGCAAAACTAAACAGACTATAAACCTCTAGATTGATTGCTATCTCTAATTCTCAAAATATACATAATGAATTACAGCAGCAAGACTTAGCTTTTATATGCTATTTAAAACAAAACAAAACAGACTATAAACTA